CCTGTGCCAGCTGAGCGCCCAGGCCCGCGTAATGGCCATCCTTGCCCCAGGGTCCCCCGTGAGGAGGGGGCTCCTCTTTTCTTTCCCTCAGCGTCGCCTCGCCTCGACCCTCCAGGCCGCATATTTTGTGAGAGGGTGCAGGAGAGACTGGAGGGTCTTCGAAAACCTCCCCGGCGCGGGAGGGGGGGTGGTCTCAGCACTTTGGCAGGGCGGGGACGCATTGCTGAGGGCAGGGACCCACGCCCGGGACCGCAGGGAGCCGACCCGAGACAGTCTCCTGGGCCGGGTCCTAGAAGGCAGAGCCGGAGGAGAGCGGCGCCTCCTTAAAGGGCGCTCGCGGCCCTTTGTCCCCTCCCCCTGGCGCTCGGGATCGCTGTCACCCGCACCAGCCCCAACCAGCTCCTCCCTGCCTCCTCCTCTCCGCTCCAACGTCTCCTCCGCTGGACCCACAATCGCCGGCCGCCGGGTGGTGGCCCTTACCTGCGCTCCCGAGAGGTGTCAGGTGGCCAGGCCTCCGTGTCCGGAGAGCGCCGGTCTCGGCGAATCCCTGCAGGACTGGCGCCTCGGGCCGGGAATTCGGAAGGATCCCGGCACCTCTTCCCTGCCCGGGAACTCTCACCTCCCACCGGGTTGGAGGCCACCTGGCCTCAGTGGAAACTCATCTCCTTGCTTGCACGCCCGCCTCCGAAATGTGACCTACTTTAAATGTGACCTACTTTTTCAAAACCATTAACACTCGTGGGAAAAACGGACCCACAATTTTGATAACCATTTTTCTTTGAAATACTATTCTCTTGCATCACTGTTAAAAAGCTTGAAAGGTCAATGGCCACTTTGAGTTGAAGCCGTGGCTATGGGGAAGTTGGGCGAGGAGGGGGAGGGGTGCGAGGGAGGCGCGGCTTACAAACCTCGCCTGGTGCCCCCCCTGCCGGCCCTGCGAGGAAGTGCGAGCTAGCTCCTAGCTCCCGGGGAACAATGGTTTTCTCAGTAATTTTCCTGCTTTTGAGTAAATAATTCTATGCACACGATAAGGTGGTGAGCCTGGGGTGGGAGGATTTCCCAGCTAACAAAGGGCTTTGTTAACCGTGGAGTCGTATGCACGGAATCAAGTTTTGTTTTTTGGAAAAAAATATTTGACAAGGAGGGTGGAGCTAAAAGAAGTGTATTCAAAACCCTGTCTATGTAGTTGGAATAATTTTGTGCAAGTCATTTGCCCTCTTTGGACCGCTGGACTTTTCCCTAACATTAAGAGCTAGACTTGGGTTCTGGGTGCGGGACTGAGATAAATAAACAAACCAGATTCCACGTGGAGTTTGTGAGTAATCTGAGGCTCAGAACCTTTTAAAAACCACTACATCTACCAGGTTTTCACTACCTTGTAAATTATTCTATAAGGCTTCTCTTGATAAGAGGGTGAACCCTTGCTTCTGTAGTTTAAAAGGTATTTGTGGATGGCTTGGCGCCTGTGGCTCAAGTGGCTAAGGCGCCAGCCACATACACCTAAGGTAGCAGGTTCGAATCCAGCCTGGGCCCGCCAAACAACAATGACAGCTGCAACCAAAAAAATAGCCGGCCGTTGCTGCGGTCGCCTGTGGTCCCAGCTACTTGGGAGGCAGAGGCAGGAGACTCCCTTGAGCCCTGGAGTTGGAGGTTACTATGATCTGTGATGCCACGGCACTCTACCCAGGGGAACAGCTTGAGGCTCTGTCTCAAAAAAAAAAAAAGGTATTCGTGGCTCAGTGAGTAGGGCACCGGCCCCATATATCAAGGGTGGTGGGTTCAAACCTGGCCCCAGCCATACTGCAACAACCACAACAAAAAAATAGCTGGGTGTTGTGGTGGGTGCCTGTAGTCCCAGCTACTCAGGAGGCTGGGACAAGAGAGTCGCCTAAGCCCAAGAGCTGGAGGTTGCTGTGAGCTGTAACACCATGGTACTCTACCAAGGGCAACGAAGTGAGACTGTCTCTAAAAAAGAAAAAATTAAAAGATATTCTTAAAATGTGTACAAAGATTAATTTCTATTTAATAGTTGGTTGAAATGTATCTCCCAGCAACTCTTTTAAGTCTTGCCTGTTGCATTTGCACATGCTGTTTCCTCTTACTGGAATGCCCCTCCCTAGAAGGGGTGCAGGGCTGGCTCTCATCATTCAGGTTCTAGGGCAAAGTTATCTCAGCAGAGAATCGTTGTCGATGAAGATTACAGTAAGCACAACAGCAGCTATAGGGAGAACAAGCTTTGTACCAAAGAGGGATTTTTTGCTTTTATATATAAAATGTTTCTCAGCAATGCCTAGGGTTTTGCTGGCCTTTTTAATCCTCAAGAAGCACATGCAAGAGCCACATAGAAAAATATTTCTGAGATCATGTTAAGTGGGGGGAAAAGAATATAAAATTATATCTGAATTATGATTATATTATGAGATTGTGTATGCGTGTGGGCAAAACAGAAGGAAATGTGGAGAAATAAAAGCAGCTGTTTTTAAAAAGGTGGCAGCATATGGGTGAATTTTAAATTTGACTTCCCTTAAGGCAGGAAGATCACTTTAGGCTGGAGTTTGACACCAGCCTGGGTAAATAGCAAGACCCTAAAAATTTGTTTTAATTTTTTACTTCCTTTAATACTATTCCAGTATTTTTCCTTTTTTTTTTTTTTGAGACAAGTCTCACTTTGTCGCCCTTGGTAGAGCGCTCTGCCGTCACAGCTCACAGCTCACAGCAACCTCAAACTCTTGGGTGTAAGTGATTCTCTTGCCTCAGCCTCCCAAGTAGCTGGACTACAGACGTGGCCACAATGCTAATTTTTAGAGATGGGGGTCTCAGTCTGGCTCAGGCTGGTCTTGAACTTGTGAGCTCAAGCAATCCACTCACCTGGGCCTCCTAAGTGCTGGGATTACAGGCGTGAGCCACTGAGCCCAGCTATTTTTCCCTTTTATTTTTAGTTGATATACATATCTATGGGATAGAGTGACATTTCACTTCATTTATCATATATATACATATATATATTTCGTACCCACAATTCTACTCTCTACTTTCAAGCTCAAAATTTGTTCCAGTATTCTTGACAATCATCATTTTTCCAAAGTTGCATGTAGGTTAACGTCTTCAGCTCCTCTGAGTGAGTGGGGTATAGTGTATAGACCTTATAACTCCATCCCGAAGGACCTCTCTTCTGAGCTTCGGACTTGCCACTCAGCATCACATTCAGATGTCTAAGCGGCATCTCCAATTTATCACGTCCCAAACTGAGACCTGATAATTCCTCCCGGCTTAAGACAAAAACAAAACAAAAGACGCCCCTCCTGCGCTTTTCCCCACTTCTGAAATTGTCCGTTCTAGTCTTCCTTTGCTTTAGGCCAAAGCCTTAGAGCCATCATTAACTGCTGTCATTGTCACACACCCCACATCTGACCTGTCAGCCAATCTTTTGATGCTGATTTCACAATAAACCCAGAACTGAAGCCTTGTCGCATGTCCACTGCGCACCACTCAAGCTGCCCTAGTCTCTGCCTGCTCAGTGGCCCTCCTTGCCCCTCTAACAGTAGTGAGAGTGATTTTGCCTAAACTAAATCATTTCGTGTCTCTCCTCTGCTCCAACCCAGCTGGCTGCGTCACACAGGCGTAAAAGGAAAAATCCTGCTTGCCACTTGAAAGGTCCTGTGAAACCGGGTTCCATTGACCTCTCTGATCTCATTCCCTCCTGCTCTGTTCTTTGATCATTCTGCTCAAGTTACTGCAGACTCTCTGCCAATTCTAGACCATACCACCCCGCCCTTCCTCAGGGCCTTTGCATTCGCTGTCTCCTCTGCCTTTCATGGTCTTCTTTAGATGGCACATGGTTTGCGTCCTCACTTCCTCACGTCTTTATTTGATGCCACCTTCTTAGTGCAACCTTGCCTGAGCACCTCGGTCAGAACTGACCCTCCCCCTCACAATTCTTTCTCTGATCACTGTTTAACCTAGTATATGTTTTATTTATTTGTCCAACTTGTTGTCTCCCCCCACTCCCACTAGAAGGTCAATTTCATGTATTTGCATTTGTTCACAGCTATATTTGAGCACCTGGAATGGTCCCCAGCATGTAGTAGGCATTCAGCATAATCATTGGATGAATGAATGAATGAATGTGTTAGCACCACATTTAAAGTGAGATTGCCCAGGTATTAATTCTCACTGTGCCACCACTTGCTTCTTATATAGGGTGACCAGACGTCTCAATTTTGGCGAGACAGTCCCACTTTTCAACAATTTGTCCCGGGTCCCGCGGCATTTTAAAAAGGTCCCGATTTTTGGAAAGAATGCACGAACGGGCTGCAGAACAAGAAGGGAATATACGGTTTTCAGCTGCCATATGGCTATTTCGCCAGAATATGAGTTTTATATTATTTTTGTTAATTTTATAATGTTAAACTGTAATAAATAATT